CAGGACTCTACAGGAGCTGGGGACTTGCTAACCGGCTTCCACGGAAACTACGGACCCCGCTTCTCTGTCCTCCAGTGTCAGCCTCCCCCGGCTCACACGCCAGCCCCATGTGCGTTTGGGGCGCCTGCCCTGGCAGCCACGAGGGGAGAAAGGGCAGACAGACGCAGAAAGGATCGCCAGCAGCATGAAGCGTTTGTGCCATTTTCACGTTCAGTTTCAAGTTCCTCAAAAAGAGTTACCGTCTTGGGGCGCCTGGGTGGCTCAGTGGGTTGAGCCTCTGCCTTCGGCTCAGGTCATGATCCCAGGGTCCTGGGATCGAGGCCCGCGTCGGGCTCTCTGCTCAGTGGGGAGCCTGCTTCCCCCTTTCTCTCTGCCTGCCTCTCTGCCTACTTGTGATCTCTGTCAGATAAATAAATAAAATCTTTAAAAAAAAAGAAAAAAGTTACCGTCTGACCCGGAAATCTGACTCCTAGGCCTGCGTACCCAAGAGAGCCGAAGACACGTCCACGCAAAACCGCGGATCCGAGTGTGTTAGCGGCATTATCCACAATCGCCAAAACAGACACAGCCCCAGCGTCCATCCGCGGAGACAGGACAGAGTGTGGCACAGAGGAGCAGGAACGCTCGCCGCGGCTGTGCCTGGGCCGGGCTGAGTGGAAGGAGACACGAGAGGCTACGTAGGGTGTAGTGTACTCGCAAGCCCAGAGCGGAAGCAGCTGAGCAGCACTGCAGGGGCCGGGGGCGGGAGTGAAGCGGGGCTTCTGGCGCGCGTGGGGGTCCCCTTTTCGGGCGGTGAACGCATTCCGGATTTAGGCAGTGGCGACACTCTCCAGCCCCGTGGATGGACTGAATGCCCCTGGTACTTACTACGGGAGTGCCGTCTCCGTGAGAAGCGGGTAACTATGGAGTTAGGCCGTTGCAGAAAATGTAAGAGGATCAGGCTCTTTGAGAGCACGATGTTCAGGAGACGCCTCCTGAAGTCTGCGGTAAGCCCCGAAGACGTGAGGGGGAGGGCAGCGGCGCCCCAGCGGCGAGGACAGGTGCCCGGAGTCTCGGGCAACAGGCGGAGTCCGCGCGGGGGGCCCTGAAACGGAGGCTGCCGGGCAGGGAGGCAGAGTGGCCGAGGAGCAGAGGTGGGAGAGGGTGGAGAGGCCGGAGGTGGCCTGGGGTCCTCCCTGCCCAGCCTCGGAGCTGGGGGGACGCACTCCCGCAGCAGGAAGCCCTCGCGGAACGGCCGCGGGCTTGGGTGGTGCGCCCGGAGCGCCGCTGCAGGGAGGGGAGTCTCGCGGCAGCCCGGAGCCAGGTACGGAGGGAAGGGAGCACGGCGAGGTCTGGGAGCACCGCTCCGACGTGCGTGCCTGGGCTGGAGGCTGCGGGAACAGGAGAAAAATGAGACCTTTCCTGCCGCCCGAGGGGAGAGGAGGAGGTCTTGCGTTTCTTCAGCAATTCTCAGTTGGATGCAGCCTTCACCTTTTTTTATTGGCTCCTTCATCTTTGAGATAATTCTTGACACCGGCAGAGCTGTTACCACTTGGTCCTTGGACAGAGAGAGAAACTGAGGCTCAGGGAAGTTCAGTCACTTGCCGGGGGCTGCTCCTAAGTGGCGGTTAAGAGAAGCCCCAAGCCGGGCTCGTAGTTCACCCTCAGCTGCCCAGTAGTCTCATCGCGGAAGCAAAGCCCGGACACGGAAACAAACCCCAAAACGACAGCGCGATGCACACGTCTGCTCGCCAAAGCGGGCCGCCAGGGACGGTCAGCAAACCCGCGAGCGTGCGGCGGGACGTCCCCGTCAGCCGCAGCAGGTGACGTGCCTTCCCTTTGGCTCTTCCTAACGCGGAGCAGAAGATCAAGGCGACTGAGCTTGTACAGAGGTTTTGAACCTGAGTCTTAGAATCCGACCCGGCTCAAGCCCCACCTCCACCACTTGCCAGACGAACTTGGACCTCACTGCCTGGAGCTCACCTGTCGGGTGACGCTCACACACCCTGCTCGCCCGCGTGGCCGCTACCTAACCCGTGATTCAGACGCGGGTCTGGCTCTGAGGTCGTTCCTTTTGTGCTCGGCACAGGTCGACGGCACTGCGAGGGCTGCAGAACCCAGGACTCTCATCGAGGCAGAGGCTGAATCAGGAGCTCAAGGGTGACGTGTTTCCGAGCGAGGGACCGAGCAGGACGTGCCACTCCGCCGCTCCGTCTGCAGGAACTTTGGTCTGGATTCCGGTTTGCATGGCCCCAAGTACGAACTACTGGGTTCTCCAGGCCTTTTCTCCTTCCTTCTCTCTCCCCTCCCACTGCTTTGAGGGGTTTTCAGATCAGAGGTGCAGCCACTCTCCTGGGGGATAATCCTGTTGCCGGTGACCTTGTTTGCCGAGCGTCCTTCACAAAGACCGGCTTCAGCCAAAAATTCCTCCCTCTCGGAATCACACAGTTTTTCTTGGCCTTCGCCAGCCCTCGGGACAGAAGGGTAGAGGACCGCCTTCAGAAGCATTTTCACGCCCAGGAGCTGCCCAGAAGAAATGGGCCGGGCCGCAGAACGTGCCAGATGCGCTACTTCCGCTGCCTGGGTTTATTTTCTGCTTTGGTCCTTTCCCTTCTCCAGCACCACGTGTGTCTCCCGTCTGCGGGCGGGCACTGGTTTCCATTCCGTCCGCTCCCGGAGGGGCTGGGGGAGGCACAGCTCTGCACCCAGGAAAGTTTCTTCCTCCAGGTAAGAATTTTTAAGATTCTGAGACCGAGACCTGATCAGCAAGTTGAGAACCAAACCAGAAATGCTCCGTAATCACCCAAGGAAAGCAAAAAGCCCCGTGGATCGAGGGTTAAAGTTAACAAGACGGCGCGAAGAGACGGTGGCAGAAATGAGGGCGCGTGAGCCCAGGGCTGCCTCAGGGAGCCGCGGGTCTCTGGTGAAACGTGGCTGGAGAAACCTTCCTGGCTGACAGAATTCTGAGAGACCCTTCACGAGCCCCGGAGACCCCTTCCCTCCAGGCAAGCTCTGTTTGTCCTTGGAAACGTCATGGGCTTCCTACTTGTTCCCTGTTATTTCCAGGGATTTCAGAGGAGCCACTGAATGCCAAAGGGAAGACGTACTTGAAATTGAAGCATTTTTTAGTTCTTTAAAGGCACGTGGACCCGACTGTGAACTTGCTCTTTGGCCAGTCTTCTTTCCTGCTGAGAGACTGTGAGGAGCATGAAGGGAAATTGCATTTCTTTCTACCCCCTGGCCCCCCTCCGTGCCATAAGCTGACCTGGAGAAAAACCAGTTTCCCTCTGCTGGAGGTCTGCGAAGGTAGAAGGACCCCTTTTCCAACACGGAAGGTGATCTGAAAATGTTCTCCTGTCCCGACATTGGGTTTCTTAACATCTGACTCTGAAGAACCATCTTTCCCAAGACTCCCCACCCTAGGTCCCTCACGCGCGCACACACGCATGTGCGTACACACACACGCACACCCGTCAGGCCCCCCAGCAACTCAAACTCCATCAGGTTCTTCGACGCCTCTTAGTCCCGCTGAATCGAAAATTCTGGTGCTGGGGCCCAGCGATTCCCTAATCACCTGGAGAACCGAGGAATTCATGAATTCCCGCCTTCCGCTCCCAGAGCTTTGACTCAGTAGTTCTGCCGCGGGACCCAAGACCTCACACGCACATCGGACCCCCGGCTGGCGCCGACGCAGCTGGTCGGGCGCGTGGCTCTGGCATACGCGGCTTCCCACCTGCCTCCAGGGCACAGATTTCTGCCACATGCTCAGTGGTAAGTTGTGTGCAAAGACCACAGACGGACAGACAGATGGGAAAGGCAGGAGGTGCAGACCACCAGAAGAACAAGGAGGAAGAGAAGTTCCGGCCGGGAAGCCATGCCTAGAAAAGAGACCTGTGCTTCCTCAGCACGCTTTATCAAAGATGTTCTTTCTGGTGATTTCCATTTCCCTGTTTGGTCCCTGTGACTTTACCATGGGTTCAGACCTCCTGGTGGTTTCTCAAGGGCTTTATCAAAATGGTGGCACAAGACCCAGCCCAACAGAAAGGATTAAGAGAACACAAGGATCCAAGGTCAGACTCTCTGGTGCAGCAGACATGGGGCAGGGACACCCCGTCTCTGGAATGTCTGAGAGGGTTTTGTGCCTCCCTCCCTCCTCCTCACTGGTCCTGTCCACGGGCCACGTGGTCTCTGCTTCTCGGATTTCAGCAGAGTCACCCAGTTAAACACCGATGACTGACCCCCTCTCTGGACTTCCTGATTCTGTACATTGGGATGGGGCCTGGCCTGAGCACGTGCATTTTTTTTAAGATTTTATTTATTTGACAGAGAGAGATCCCAAGTAGGCAGAGAGGGGGGAAGCAGGCTCCCTGCAGGGAGCCCATACGGGGCTCGATCCCAGGACCCTGGGACCATGACCTGAGCCGAAGGCAGAGGCTTAACCCACTGAGCCACCCAGGCGCCCCTAGCACCTGCATTTTTAACAAGCTTCCCGGGCATGGATGCTGCTTGCCTAGGGACCTCGCTCTAGAACCCCCGGTGTGCGCGTCTGAAGTCCTACCACAAGCCATCAAAGAGTCATGTGCCCCAGCAGCCCCCACGACAAGTGGCTTCCCGCCCAGTGCAGACAGGGAGAGGGGCATCTGACCCTCGCATCTGACCCTCGCTCTGCCTGCAGTGGGGCACTCGGACAGGAACCCATGTCCAGCGGAAACCAACAACGTAGAGCCGGGTGGTGCCTTTTGGGACACCCCAAATTGTTACATTATTTCCTCACTCAGAAAGTCCCCGTAAGTCTACCGTCTCTGGGGGTTTGTAGCTCCCTCTGAACCTCACAGCTCTCCTGGGTTTTCTGTTACAGAAGCGTCGCTGTTTCGTCCCATTTGCCAGGAGCGGCGATGTCCAGTCTGGGGGATCGGTCCCCGACAGGCTCGTGGGCGCGCGGTCTTCCGCCCAGGAAGCGGCTTGTGGAGGGGAGGCCGGCCTGTCTCACCGTGTGCTCTCTTCTCTCCCCCGCCCCCCAGTGCACTCCCAGAAGCAGAACAGGCAGACGTGCGTCCGCAAGAGCCTCATCTGCGCCTTCGCCATGGCCTTCATCATCAGCGTCATGCTGATCGCCGCCAACCAGATCCTGCGCAGCGGCATGGAGTAGCCGCGGCGCCCGGCCCGGCCTGCATGTGCATGGCCCGCGCGGATCCGGCTCCTGCGCGCCCGGCGCGGCTCCCAGCGGGACCCGAGGCCGCAGCACGGCCGGTGTCACTCACCCGCTCCATCTCCTTGGCAGGGACACAAAAGGGCTGTCTTACACGCTTTAAGGGTTTCCTTCCCAATGCAATGAAGTAGCCGGGAGTCCCAGCGACTGCGCGCACCACCCCTTAGGAACTCTGCAGACGGACACACTTCTCCGCTCGGGCTTTTCCAGTGGCCGCCCGGAAGCCAGGGTGCGGTGCCCATGGGCCCCGTTGTTCGAGTCCCACCCCCGGGCCTACAGGAGACTCCCGGCTGGGGGAACCCTCCGCCCCATGAGGCTGACTTCTGGAACAGGGGGGCTGCCCACCCCAGCCTGGCCTGCCTCCTGCACCCCGTGGAGCCCCCCGAAGGCACGAGGGGAAAGCCATCGACGGGGGTGCAGCGCCTGGCCGTGCGCAGGCCGCACCCTCGCCTCCGCGCCCCTGCCTCTCCTGCAGGACCCCTGCGGGCAGAGGCGGGGATGCTGGGTTCCCGCCCGCACTCGGCTTTCTGTTCCCGGAGCCATCGCGCACCAGCACTCCGGAGCCTGCAGAGCCCCCGCCCTCCTCCCAGCTGGGCCACCCCTGCTGCCCTCGGTGGACACGGAAGCTGCTTGCGGGCATCTGTCCAGACGCGCGGACCGTCCATACGTCGGTCTTCCTCATGGGCTCCATCCCTCTTTCCTGACCGCTAACTCCCGCTACAAGCTTGTCCTCCGACTCGCATCCCCGCTCCTGGGTGGACCGAGACCGGGGGAGGCGGTGGTGCAGCCCACCCCCCGCCGTCGGACTCGGAGCCTGAGCCCATCTCCAGCCACAAGGCCCTGAAAGTTCCGGTCCGGGAGCCCCTTCCCCGCTTCTCGTCTTCAACTCTGCTTCGTTAGTCTTCCCCGGAGAGAGACACAGTCCGCGCTGCAAGGACGAACGATGGAGCGACGGTCTCGCAGGACACCTCACAGCACGCAGGTTCCACAAGTGACTCGTTTTCACGAGGACACAAAACGGTGTGAATCCGCTTAGCCCGCAGCACAGTGACTCACCGCTGCCGGTGGCGGCGAACTTTTGGGGACGGGACGCGGTCCCGGGGAGCGTGTTCGGGTCTGGCACTGCCCGGCCTCCCCTGGACGCCCGCCAGCCGCCGCCGCGGGATCCAGCGGCGCAGCCGGCCGAGCCTGTGGTCTTCCCATGTGAGGTTTCCCTTTGTACTTGCCAAGCTCGGGTCTCCACGTCCGTCACGGGACTGTCCTGCTCCTTTGTCCGCTGTCCCGAGACGACGCGCTCTTCCAGCTCTCCCTCCCTTTCCCCCAGAGCGGAGGTGCCAGAGTCGTCCTGGGTTTCGCGGTGTGGTGGGTGTCCCCGATTCCATCCCCCCCGCGCCCCTCTCTCAGCTTTCTCCCCACTGCCTTCTCCGACTTGTCCTTTTAGGGTCTTTTTCGGGTTCACCTCTGCAAGCGCCCAGGCAGCAGCCAGGGGCAGCCGTGGAAACCCCCCGCCGCGGGAGACGGCGGTTACTCAGTGATGAGCACAAGTCAAACTAGGGTTTGAGCCATAGTGTGCAGGACGGAGCAGGGGTGAGCTCCCGAGAGCTGGGGGGTCGAGGGTCCCGCTGGGAAAATGCCTGGAGTCCCGCACAGCCAGGCCAAGGAAGGCAGCAGCCTGCCTGTCCCTCTCACCCACCCTGCCCTGCCTCGGTGCACACCACACACCTGCCTCTCCTCTCTCTCCCCCTGCCCGACTGACCGCGGCCCTCAGGGTCGGCTCCCGAATGAAGACGGGTCCGAACACAGAGCACTGACACGTAAGACAACTTCTTTAGTGTTGCCCAGAGCAGCTTACCTCCCCGACACCCCCAGCTGGACTTGGACGGGAAGGAGCCCGTGGACCCCTAGACCATGTCCTCCTGGGGACCCAAAGTAGATGCGATAAAGGCCCCCGGGCATGACTCCTAAAGGAACTTGCCCCGTGAGAGGCGAGTGCGGTGCTTGCCCAGAGGCTGGCTCTCCGCACGCGCTTCCGCCGCTCAGCGGAGAACGGGGTCCCCGGAGGTCGGGAGACGTAGAGGAGATTGGAGGCACGAGGCAGGGGCAGGGACGAGAAGGAGCTCTGGAGAGGCAGCGGCAACCTGCTCAAGGCCTCAGCATCCTCTCCCTGGAGAGGACCCTTCCCCCCCGCCCCCCAGTGACCAGTAAGCGGCCCGTCCTACACCTCGGGGACGGGAGCAGCACGCAGCCCTCATGCAGAGAGAGGACAACGAAGAAGCTGTAGAAAGATCTTGGAAGGGCTAGAGCTGACCTCCCGCCACGGGGGCCTGACACATGGCACCCAGTGGCGGAAGTGTGGGGTGACCATCCAGACCCGGTTGCGTTCTTGAGACTTCGGGCGCTAAGAGCTTATCCCCGTGGCGTGACCCGTGGCTGCTTTGCCTGGACAGTCTGTCAGAGGGGTTGGGATTCCTTGTAAGGCCTACGAGCTTGACTTCCGGCAGGCTCCGGAGCCCTCGCCATTTGATGCTCGCGGATAAAGCGCGGCTCATTCTTGTTCTAAGAACGGGTGCACCCCAGACCACGCAGGTGGTGACCGGGGAGGCATTTTGCTAGGGGGACAAAGCACGCACGTAGGCCGTGACCCACGGGAAGCGGTCTGCTGTCACCCCAGATGCACACAGAGCCCCAAACAGGACCCAGCATGGGAACTATTAGAAGTGGCTTCCAGAATGTACGTGGGTCCCATGTGACCAATCTGGGGGGGGGGGGGCGATGTTGCCACGGCAGCCCTTGCACTGCAGCCCGAGTTTGCCAAGGCGAAACAGGGAACGTTTCCTTAAAGAACACGGGCTCTGCCTGGTTGCAACCTGAGTCCGCGCGTCCACGTCCCACGGGGGAGCAAACTACGCTCTCAAAGTCTGGGGGTTCCTCTGCCTTTCCTGGCGTTGTGAAGCCGCCCTCCCATGGCTCGGGAGAACAGGAGCTCCCTGAGAGCCGGTGGTATCCTCCCCGCCCCGCCTCCCACCCCCCTTCCCAGGGAGCAAGGACCCCTTCATCTGGGCAAAAAGGCAGAAATGTCATTTGGAAGGCAAAAAATATTTTAAGCTTCAATCTTTAAAAGCATCTGTTTGCCTGTTTAGACACTCCCACGAGCCAGAAATGTGAAGTTTTACGTGTGTCTCAGGCAAGCCCGGAGGCCTCAGAACCTTCTAGGTGTTTGGTTTGCGAGAACGAGATGTGCACGAGGCGTGTTCTCTCCCCACACCCGTTCCTGTCTCCGATTTCACACATGTGGTCTCTCCTGTGTTTAGCCAGAAGAACCTGGTGAAGGATGGCAGACTCGTTCCAACAGCAGTGACCCTCCCAGCCTCCCCTCTACAGAATCGGAGAGTCGCGTATCTAAGAGTGCGGGGGGGGGGGGGGCGGGATTTCTCTTTTCTTCCAAAGGCCTCCTCTAGGCTCAAGTCAGACTCAGGTGATAAATCAGAGAGTTTTGCTCTTAGCTCGCAGCTGAGCACCTGCCCGGGACAGTGACAGAACAGTAAGGGTGTGACCACCAAGCACAGGGCCCCGGGTTGGCCGGCCTGGCCACGTGTGGCTGCACGTCCTGAAACCCCGTCCTGCCGTGCCATTGCCTTCCACCCCCACAGACGCTGCGGAGCTCTGCTCCCCCCACCCCCGATGTCCCAGACCATCCTGGGTCGGTCCACTGCACCGCCTCCGAAAGCCCATGGTGACAGGACCGTTCACCCGCCCCGTGGAGATGCAGGGAGATCCGGGACCCCACCGCGAGACCCCCTTTTCCTGTAGTGCCGTGGCGATACGGACGGGCCGCGCCCAGACTTCCAGACCCGGCACACTCCGGCCGGCGGCTGCCTGGCCCTGCGAGCGGACGTTCCCGGTCGGCCTCAGCGGTGACGCTCGCAGGCTAAGCGTCCGCAAGCGGACGCCTTTGCCGTGGCCACCTTCCCGCCTCATTCCCCACCTGTCCCCGAGGGCGGGGGATCCGTCCAAAGCAGGAAAGTGACCTCACCCAGCAGGGAGGGTTCCAGCTGGAACCGTGTAAGCGACGGCGACGGAGAGGATTCCCGCGGCCCCTCGGGACCCGGCCTCCGCGGGACCCGGCGCGGCAGACGTGTTCAGCTTCCCCTCCGGCTTCCTGGGACCAGGTCGCGCAGGGCACGGTCCTCGGGTGTGCGGCCAGGCACACGGCTGTGCTTTCTGCTCTGTACTGGCTCGGGACCCTCCTGACACGGGCTCAAGGGACATGATCACACAGCTCAGAATGTCTTCGTGGCAAAATTAGATTCCTTGGGCTTGAAATAACAGCCACAAAGAACAGGTGTCACCAGTCCCACGGAAGGCGAGGAGTTTCCCTCCGACCCTGGAGAACGCGCCCCGGGCCCTGGCCCTAACGTTGGGTAGCTTGTGGGCTGGACGCCCAGCTCAGTCTAGCCCTCACCCACCCTTCTTCCTTGAGCTTGGGGGGCCGGCTGGCAGAACAGGGCCTCTCGCAGTGCTGGAAGCTACTTCTTCGCAGAGGAAGGGATGCGGAGGCTGGACTTTTCCAGCGGGGTGGAAGAACGGGCTAATTAGGAAGGAATATTCCAGGGAATGAAAAATTCAAGTGTGCTGTTGCTCCCTCCCGGGACCTGTGAAAAGAAAAACTGTGCAGGGCTGCAGAGGCTGGTCTCTGGACGTGTTCCCGGTGTGTCTGGCCTACTTTGGTGTCATACAAGGGACCGAGTGCCACGGGGCTGCGGCCCACCAACCCGATGCTCGTGACACGCGGGGCACGCGTCAAGAGGAAGCCGGTCGGTAACTCACCTTTCCCGGGGGGACGCGGACACCTGCCAAGCCCAGGACGCCTCTCGCGGCGTTTCCCGTCTGGCCTCAGACCTGTTGAATCAGGTCGGGAGAGCGGAGTTTAGAGCCAGAAGCACGGGAGCCCCATCACGTGAGGACGCCACGTGCTTCTGCCCCCCCCCCCCTCCAGCCTGATGACTGAGTGACCTTCTGTCCCTGGCCTCGGGTTTCTGAGCTCTAGAGCAAAGGGAAACCAGAAGGGCCCCCGCACCGTGACTCTGTTCGTCTGAAACGAGTCAAACAAACACCGCCTAGACACGGGAGGGTCCCTCTGTCCCCGTGAGCGGCGCCGGGACCGCACGTTCTCTC